CTTACTACCATTCCACCTATTGGTTTACCTCAGCTCGTATGTCTGATTTGCGGACTATTATACAAGAGCGGGGTTTATAGTGGCTGCAAGTTTTCCTCGTTATCCTTTACAATATATATATATATATATATATATATATATATATATATATATATATATATATATATATATAGTTAATTTCATTTTTTGTTCTAGATTTATAGGTGACAGTCCACTTTAAGTCTCTTTTTTTTTTTTTATCCGAACATTCACGTTTTGGTCATAGTATTATTGTAGCATGATCATTTTTGGTCCTTTATCCACAAAAAACATTTAAATATCGTTAAGTATATAAGGGCATTTCTGTTTTCAATTATGAATTTTTTTCAACAAAAAAAAAATAATAAACATAAAAAATATAGCGGGTCAGTCTACTTTTTATAAAAATGATCAAAATGTCTTTGTATTTAACGACAAGTACATTTTAATGATTTTGTTGGCGAATGACTAAAAATGATCATGACAATTATACTATAACCAAATGAGGATTTTATAATATAGGACTAAAAGTGGACGGTCACATATAAATCTATGACAAAAAATGAAATTAACTATATATATATATATATATATATATATATATATATATATATATATATATATATATCTCACTAGAGGTCTAGGGTTTGAGTTATGAGAGTTTTGGCGTGTGATTCTAGTTGATTGGTCGAGAAAGTTTATGGTACGTCAGGCAAAAAAAAAATTATGTAATTTTATTGAGTAATGTAGACTGCGTTTGATATCAAAATATTTGTACATTTTAAAGTTTTATATATCATATTGAATATGAAGCTGCATAGTTTAATATATCAATACGGTAGGCCTGGTACGGTTGACATATGGGTCGTAATAATGCGCGTGATTAAATAAAAATTTTCACGTACGGTAAGAAATTGAGAATATATAAAGAATTGATATTAGTTAAACGAAAAGAATTATTGTCCAACATTAAGAATTATTTATAAATTTTTCTAAAAAGAATAATATGGTGACTCTAGTGGAGCATGATTCTCAATTCTTATTAGCACTCTATTGGTCGAATCTGTCGCACATGGTCTTTCTATAGTGCGTTTTACATCTCTTGTGCAGTTTGCAAGCTATTACGTAGAAATGTGTTTATCTCGTACATAATATATACTAGGGTATGAATGCAAATTTCTTTCGTCATAAGAAAAAATTTAAAATTGTGAAATAAATTTAGATCAATATTAAAATGAACTTAGATATAGACAATAAATGCAGTTCAAGAACCACGTAACAAGGTACTTTAAAGTGATGTTTCTTGTATTTTATTTTAATTTTAATCCAAGTATCAGGTTAGTTGATGGTTGAATTAATGGTTGAATTGTTTAATGTTTGCTTGTAAGATGGATGGATGGATGATCGGATTTGAATCTCATGAGTCATCACCTATCTGCACAGCTGCTATTAAATTTTATTTTTTTTTAAAAAAAAATAATATAATAAGAGATATCCGTAAGCCTTTTTACTTGTCCCTTCGGGAACATTCGATCAAATTAGAACGATACAGAGAACATTAGCATGGTCCCTAAGCAAGGATGACACGCATAAATCAAGTAAACCTTCCTATTAGAAAGGGTTGCAGATACTCATGTTTTTTAAAAAAATTGAACTCGTGATTCTTTTTATAAAAAAGAAGGTCGCGAATCACCTATTTTATACTAGTGTCATTATTTTTTTCCTAACATATTGAAGAATCATTAATTATAAAATGTGACTGACTATTTCTATATATATATATATATATATATATATATATATATATATATATATATATATATATATATATATCTAAAAACATAATAAGTGTGAATGAAAGTTATACCCCTGATTTATGTCCGTTTTTTCCGTTAAGTTTTTTTTGTACATTATGCTATAAAGGTTGTGCATCAAAATATTTTGGACAAACATACCCCTACCATTATAACTTCTGTTATCTTTTCCACTATTGTTACCATGCACATGCATCCACCATATATTTTCTTATCTACTTAATCAATAATAATATATAAACATTGTATATTTGAGTTATATGTTAATTATTACATAAAATATAAGTATCAAATTTATAAAAATGATTTACATTATTATTATTATTATTTAGAATAATTTAAATATCTAAAATCTAAATAAATTTTAAAATTTTAATATAATGTATTAATATTGGGCACTTATTTTTTGCGCATCGCGCATAAAAAAAAACTAGTATATATATATAATCGTGATCAAATGAGAATTAATAGTTAGTGAGAATGTGATAATTAATTTCCTTTGTCCATCTAAGATAATCAAAGGCTAAAACTTGAGGAAAAATGGAAAAAGTATATAGTGACATTTTTGTAATTATAATTGTACATTTGAAAACGCTTTATAATACATTTACGAATAACTAATAATGCACACACACGAGTATACTATTATATATCGTGAATGTCATGTCAGTTATCTGCGATTGCACTATTCGTGGTTTGAAATGTACTGTCGTAATTACAAAAAGTCACTACATTTTTTTTTCATAATTTCTGGCTAGCAATTAATGTTGTGCATTGAGTAAACATTGCTCATGTGAAATAGCTCGCAAACAACACATGTGAGGTAAATTGTAAAAATTAATTTATAATCTTACATTAATATACGAGAATCATGGTTTATCCACTTGGCCATCCCAAAGGTGATGAGACTACATATTTACAATATTACTAAGTCGCATTTTCCATTTACAAATTGGGGTGGTCCTAGCTAAACAGGAATTGATTAATTTATGATAAATAAGTCCTAATGTGGACGTTTAATTCGGAGTTGACTTGATAACTCTCCGGGTCATTGTTATGGCAAATACACTGGATCGCGGACTATAATGCATTGTGGTTCAGACATCAAATATGTATTACAGTTTCATTTCATAATAACTATAGTATCATTTTGATATAATTACAGTTTCGTTGGACAATATACACTCAAATATATGAAATTGTTATTCAGTTTAATTTTGTATACACTGCAGTTTCATTTCAACACAACTACAGTTTCATTTCAATTCAATTACAGTCTCATTTGATAATATAATAAAAATAATGCGTAAAAGAGTGTCAGTTTAAACACAGTATAGTATCTGTCGTTTTAGACCATGATGCATCGCGATCCACAGTATAATTGCTGTTGTTATGACACCAACCAACTACTTCGTAGACATTGAGGTATTGAACATTTATGCATGATAGCAAATGAAGATTTATTCAGGCCCACAAAGTTCTATCGGCAGTGACCGGAGTAATTTGTGCGGCATCCTATCAAATGAAGATCAGATTGGTTGAGAGCTTTTGTTCGATTCAGTTTATGCACTCAACTTAGCAAAGACGGCAGAGTGAGAGGCCCACGCAAATTATATCGTGCACCGCAGTGCATAATCGATTATATAGCGCGCACCAAAACGACATCGTTTTGATTAATTAAAAGAAACATAATCTTTGTAAAAAATAATTTTGTTATTCAGTTTCATTTTGTATACACTGCAGTTTCATTTTAACACAATTATAGTTTCATTTCGATATAACTACAGTTTCATTCAATATTTATACACACAAATATGTGAAAATGTTATTTAATTATATTTTATATACACTATAGTTTCATTAAAACACAACTACATGATCATTTCAATGTAATTACAATTTCATTGTACAATATACACTCAAATATGTGAAATGTTTTTCAGTTTCATTTTATATATACTGTAGTTTCATTTCACCACAACTACAGTATCATTTTGATATAATTACAGTTCCATTTGATAATATAAAAATAATACGTGAGACAATGTCGATCTAGACACACTGTAGTGTCACTCCGTTATAACGCTGAGAGGCCCAAGGGCCGGATGAACCCTTTCCCAGAGTCAATGAGTGGGCCCATGTGTGTATATATATAATGGCCCCCTTTTAGGAATAAGGTTCAAATTAACCATTGAACGTAACATGTAAATACAATTAGGTCATTGAACGGAAAAAAGTGCAATTAGGCCATTGAACACTCCAAATCTATGCAATTTCACATAATAGCAGGTTACCTGCTTACATGGCAGCTGAGTTTGCATTTTTAATATTTTTTTTATGTGGCAGCCGCCGGCCACCCCCCCTCCCCCCCCCCCTCTTCCTTCGTCTCCGGCAGAGACAAAGAAGGGAGAGGAGGTGGCCAGCGGCCACCGTCGTTGTTGTTGTTGTTTTTTTTTTTTTTTTTTTTTCTGTTGTTTTTTTTCTATTTTTTAAATTTATTATTAAAATTTATTAAAAATTATTTAAAATGCCAACTCGACTGCCACATAAAGCAGGTAACCAATCATTATTTTGTGGACCATGGTCCACACAAGTTGTGTGAACCATGATCCACACAAGTTGTGTGAACCATATTTTGTATATTGTAAAATAATGTATATTCAGTACAAAAATAATGTACATTGTATTCAAGGGATTACATTATTTGTGTACTGAGTGTACATTATATTGTATAATGTACATTCAATACAAAAATAATGTACATCTAGTATATTAAAAATGTACTTTTTGTTATGGTCCATACAACACTGAGTGGACCATGGTCGACACAATAATTTATCGCAAGTAATCCGCTAAAATTGATGGTAACCTGTTATTCGGTGAAATTGCATACATTTAGAGTGTTCAATGGTCTAATTACACATTTTTAGAGTGTTCAGTGACCTAATTACATTTTTTTTTTTCATTCAGTGACGTAATTGTATTTTCAAGATACATTCAATTGTCAATTTGAAGATCAGGCCCATGAGATATAAATTAAGATCAGGCCCTTATTCCCCTGTTATAAATTAAGATCAGGCCTGTGAAGATTAAATTGCTAAGCCCATTTCAAAGAGAGGCCCATGAGATATATATTTATTTATATATATAATAAAAAAATTCCATTTTCTCTGTTCTTCAAAGTCGTAGCCGGAGCCCGGAAGTGCTAACTCAACGACGCAGCTTCCTGACTGTCTCGCCCACACCGCCCAGCCATAGCGAAGGTTTGGATTCTCAAGAGTAGGTTTGGATTCTCAAGAGTAGCCGTTTGCGCTGCACATTGGTCCTCAACGGCTAAAAATTGAGGTATTAAATGTGAGCATACGCAAATTAGCAAAATTAGGGATTTAGGGTTCTATATAAACTGTGGTAATCTGCAATCACAAATTCACAAGTTTTTTCAATGCTTGTATAGTTATATTGTCGAATTTGTTGGCGACCGGGAACTGACCGTCGGGGTGGTGGATGGAGTTGTTGAGTGGCAGAATTTCATTCTCTCTGCAATTTCTCAGCTCACAAGGGTGCTGACTTTCTTGCATTGGGGGTTGCTTTTACTGTCTTCAATGTGAGTTTTCAATTGATTTTATTATTATTTACACTATTGGATTTCCTCTGATTCTTTATTTCTTTCTTTTTGGTTTAATTATGTGGGGAGGGTTATTGATATTATATGTCTTGACGAATAAATAAATAAAGAATCTGAGTGAAAAGATTGTGAAATTAGAGGAATATTTTGTATCTGAAGACTATTAAGTATTAACAATCAGAAGGGGTTAGAACAGAGACAGAGACGGAGCTGCCGTAAAAATTAGACAGACTGTTTATATATATAATTTGTTTTTTTTTTTTTTTTTTTTTTAAAATAAATTCATTTCTTCCTAAACCAGTAGAAGAGTCCTAAACCAGTAGCAAATTGCAAGTCGCCACCGCCCCCAAGCCCCCAAGAGTCCACGGTAGCAGGCAGCAGCTCGGCACCCCGGTATAGTCTCCATCAGCTCCACTTGACAGTCCCACCGGCACTCGACACTCGCAAATCGCAAGAAGAACAACATAGAAGGCAGTAGCTGTCAGCTCCACTGCCTCCACGAGTCCACCGATCCACGGTATAGTCTTCTTCAGTTCCTAATCCCTTGGATATGTCATCTGTTACATCTGTTGATGATCTAAAACAACTAATAGAATAAATTACCAACCATTATGGATTCTTGTCTCCATCGTTTGGTTTCTTTGTCAAAATTAATGCAAACAAAGAGCCGAATAACTGAATAAGAGTTCCCTAATTCTTGTCTCATTAATTTATGGAAATTTTGTCATCCGAATTTTGCCTTAATTTTGTTTTTGCAGATTTTGAGGATTTTTTGCAGATTTAGAAGTGCTTTACTTGTCATTTCAATTGATTTAATTAACTTTTCAAAGTGCTTTATTAGTAGTTTTGCCTTGTTTGGTAATTGATTGTGTAAAAAATATATAGCTTTTGTCATTGACAACAAAAGGAAAGCATGGACAATAAAAGGAAACAAAAGTGCTATTTTTGCTGCCAGTCATAACTTCACAAATAATGTTTCTGAAATATACATTTTTTTCTTTTTGGATTTCAGTACTCCGTGTGTTGATCTGAAACATTGTAGTGTAATTTATAATGTATTTTGTATTTGAACAATCTTATTCGTATTTGATATTTTGTATTTGAACATTTTTGAATTCATTTCAACTTCGTTTCTTTGCCCCCCACTCAAAAGGAAATTATGGCTCCGTCCCTGGGTAATGGGTTAGAAGGTTCTTTTGATCACAGTCAAATTTCAAGATTATATTATGCAATCCCATGAGGGATTACAGCATGGGGTTTGGGGTGTTTGACTTTTAATTTATAGAAATTCATTTGGTAAATATGAATATCTGATAACATGTGCATCTTTGTAAGAAATGAATGGATATATGATCATCTTGGAATTAGAGAGGTGCAGCCTGTAGTTGTCTTTGCAATTACTCAACCACTAACCTCCCCAAAATTATGGCTTTTTCGTGTGACAAAAGGTGGAATTCTAGATTTCTAGTATAAATATTGTCAAAAGTATTGCATGTGAGATAAACATAGATGCTACATTTCCAAGTAAATGCCATATTATTAGGAAAAAACAATTTGACGAAAATGATCATGAGGAATTTAATATTTAATTATAAAAATTAAATTTTATATTTAATTAGTATTTTTGTACTCATATATTGAATTTAATATTTAATTATAAAAATTTATGTTAACTTACATAGTATAGGGCCTCTTTTTGTTTACTTGCCTCAGGCCTATAAAACGATAGCACCGGCCCTCAGTGAGTTGATTTTCACTTTTTCAGTGATAGAAGAAATGGATCAGCAAGCAGCAGCGATGCCGGCGGATAATGAATCGCTGGAGAAACGGCCTGGAGTGCTCATCGTCGGAGCTCCCAACGTTGGCAAACGTACACTCCTCTCTCGTAAGTCTCCCTCCTCCTCTCTAGATATACGAATGAGGAAATCAGTGATTGACGTGATGGAACAATGGTTTTTAGTGTATAATTTATCACGTAAACAACAATAACAGCGAATTATAGAACGTGTACACACCATATAGGCAAGTATATTTAGCATAAAGTAGACATGAACACCTGAGCAAAGCTTTTGGATGGAGAAATGCATACCTCGGTGACGACGGGCGTTGGGAGCATTGGATAGGTCAGCAAATACGTTTTTGCAGGACATTTAGGTATGCAGTGTTGGAAATTTGAGGTAGAGCGGGAATCCTTTGATCCGTTCAACTTTCTTCTAAAGCTCTTGCAAGTTGAGCTTCTTGTAGGAGAGTTCAGCTCTAGAATTTGTCCATATAAAAGATGACCAATGTATCTTGGATCACATAGATTGAACTGGGTTTTGAACTAGGATACCGCTAAAACCATACCATTGGCAATACTTTCCCCTATAAAAGTATGTTTGGAATCTGCATCACTATCCAGAGAGAATTCACCAGGTAATGTTCATTAAATTTGATGTGTTGAATGACATTTCCTCAAATAAAGTGTGAATTTTTAACCAATGTTTTTTGCTAATTGTTAAGTGTAGCTTTTTTGGGCTTGTTGCTGGTGGTTACAAGTTGGGCATGAAGAGTGTATTTCAATGTTTTTATCAAATACCTTGTAAATGCATTCTTTCTATTTGTGTGTATCTCTTAATTAGCATCTCTCTTGGCTAAATCGCAAATTTGCAGCAGATAATAATTTGTTGGAGATTCTTGATTTTCTTGAATTATATAAATTTGATGTGTTTTCAGCATTTGGAAGTTTGGTTCTTTTTACTTCTTGTTGCTGCTTTATCTGTTGCAAGTTTAACCAAAATAGGATTCTAACAAATTAGGGTGACATCTTTCACTTGAAATTGATCTCTTGATAGCCATTTCCATCTTGTCAATATGTAGGACTACTTTCAATAGATTTGGACGACACCCCTGATACATCATCCGGCTTACTTGCCTATGGGTAATTTGATAATAGGTTTTCAATCTATATGGTTACATGCTTCAGTATGATTTACAATATGACTTTGGGTTATTTACAGGTGGACAATCAACACAAAGTACTACACAGCTGATGTTTCTCTTTGGATGACCAATCTTCATGAGAAGTTTTCAGTTGAAGCCCTCCCAATATCTGATCAGCTGGCTGCATTAGTGATGGTTTTCGATATAAGTGATGTCAGCCTCACCCTTTACCTTCTCTGCTATAAAAGTTCTGTTTTCAGTTCGAAAACATTTCTATTATGAATGAACTGTGAGATTATTATCTCTACTGTTGCAAGATTTTGATCCTATGACTTTTCATTTGCCATAATCTGCAGTTATCGTCTTTTCTTCGACTTAAAGATTGGGTGTCTCACACTGATATCCAGAAGTTTGATATTTTGTTATGCATTGGCAACAAAGTGGATCTTCTTCCTGGTCATTCAGCTCATGTTGAGTATAGACGTCGTCTGCTGAAATGTGCAGAATCTTCAGGTAGTTCTTACACAGAAATATTAGACGCTGGTATTGATGAGACAGAAGGGAGTAGTCTATTAGGTGATGACGAATCCTCATGGGAGATTAAGAAAGCATGCTTGGAATGGTGCATTGATCTCAACATCGAATACGTTGAAGCCTGTGCATCAAATGTTGACTTCGACAAGTGTAAGCTTTATAGTATTTGTGCATTATTGCCTATTATTCATTTCCCTCAATTTTCATGCTCATATTCATGAGTGATAGTGCTGAATGCCAAGTTTTCAATCTTTTTTCCCCATTTATATAACTATACAAGCTTCTGAAATTTGTATATCTTTCCGACTTTCCCCTATTTTGGAATCATTTGTAATCTGAATGAGTCTAGTACTCTTCAGACAAGAGTACTAGACTCATTCATTGGTTTACATTTCTGAGAGCTCATTCTAGTGTAGAATGGTTAATGGGAAGAATATCCATGGCAGGTTTATCTGTCGATGGAGATTCACAGGGTGTTGAGCGACTCCAAGGGGCACTGTCAGCTTATATGTGGCCTGGAATGGTACTTAAGTCTGGTGATAAAATAAATGAACCTTCATTGCCTCAAGAGCAAGGTTTTATCTCTGCTAATGGCTTTGATTACTTCTTTTTTCTATTAACCTTTAATGCTTTTCGTATTAAATCGTGAATGCTTTTATGGTTACTATCCAGATGTGTCAGATGAAGAATCCGAATACGAACTTGAATATGAAATCCTATCTGCTGGTTCAGCAGAGCCCTGGGATGATGCAGATGGAGGCTGGATATCTGCAGATGGTCCTGTTACAACAACAGGGACAGCAGAATCAAGCAAACGGAAAGAGAATGGTTCTGAAGGAGAGGTGGGGCCTTCAACATTGGAATCTCAGCTGCCGGGAGTGATTGAAAAGGAAGAAATACCAGGAAAAGATGAAGCTGACAGAGTATCCGAGGCTGATAAGGGCACAACATACAATTTTGAGGATTTGGAGCACTTAATGGCTGAGATTGGAAATGTGCGTGATAGCTTAAGATTGATGCCAGATTTTCAAAGGAGGGAAATGGCAGCCAATCTGGCCATGAAAATGGCAGCCATGTTTGGTGATAGCAGTGGAGATGAAGAAGGGTTAGATTGATACGAGAGGACTTTTGAAGTGTTCTGTACCGTTGATGCCTGTTAGCAACCAAAATCTATTACAGATGTTTATCAACTATTGAAAACATGTTCACCTATTTTGTACAAACAAAGTGAAACCTATGACTCCTGCTAATCTCCTCTTGTCCCATGAAAGGTCTACGCAGGATGAACAAAGGTACACCGTACACCTCTCCACTCAAGTGGGTTAGTTTAATTACATAAAACTTTTACATGAATATTTTCTCTCTGGCTTTTTATTTAATCAAAACTCATATTCTAGCTCAACTCTCTTTTTTTATCCTACAGGAAAGATGTATGATTCTTCCCCCCTTCCTATTCTTCTTTTTATGGACATATACTTATTAGACTAGAGCACTATGGAAGTAACTTAGATATTTCAAGGTCTCGATAGGGTAAAATACTGAAAGGTGGCAACCTACTGTGTTTGATTAAATTATTTCTAATATTTCTTTCTCCTCTATGCTCAAACACATTATTATGTACCATTCTTCACTCTTCTATGCTGCCGTAAATGTAGACTTTGATGGTCAAGAGTCAGTAAGTTATGATTTGCTGTCGAGCTGCAATTAGAGGAAGTTTTAGGTGCCTGGTAGGTAGAATGGGATTTGGGTAGTGGAAAAGCCAAGAAAATAACATAAATTTCATCTTTTAAAAAAAAAATCTGGGCAGGCAGACATACTAGATGACAGATAAGGTAGGAAGTGGGATTAGTCTGGTTGATTTTGATGTTTAGTGCATTTGTTCTGTAGTAGGAGATATATTCTCAAATCTCGACCGCTTTGGATGGATAACCTTAACTTCACCATTAGACATCCATTGTTGTAGAATATGACCAATTGTTGTATGGTTAATTTGCAACTGGCAATATATTTATGTGTTAGTGTTAGAAGATTGAGGTGGCAGGGGAAGAAGATATTTTGTTTTGTGAAAGTGTGAAGTGGCAGTAGAGGAAAAGATATTTTGTGAAAAGTTCTTAGATTCATGAAAACTTACTTCCCAGGACCCCGCCTTCCACTTGCACTTTATTTATGCACTTATCATACTTTGAACAGCTTTTGGTATCCGAACATTGGCCTGCCTCTCAGGCCTCAGCACATCATCATGCTGAACTCTCTCTCTCTCTCTCCCTCTCTCTAGTTGGTTGGAGAGTTAGCTTGGTAACCCTAATGTTCTACGTTTGCCTTTGTGGGAGTTGTCTATTGACATTTATAGTTTAACTCGGTCAGTTATAGGCAACTTTTGATTTTCCTCCTTATGATCCATTGCCGGCTATGATCACAAGACAGACTTCACTTAATGCACTTTCGAGTAACTGTTGTGGATTTTTTTCGTAAATCAATGTAAATAGAGTTGGTGATTGACCCACCTAGTGGGTGTGTGAATGCCCCTAGTGACCACTCTGATGTACTTCAAACGTATCTGCTAGGCGCTGGGCTGCGCGGAAGCTTCAATTTTTTTTTATTTTTTTTTAAAAATAAATTCGAAAAATCAAGTTTCTCTCTTATGTCACTTCATCTCCTCTCTTCCAATAAAGTGTAAAAACCCACCAAGAATTTACATTGAAGTTGGTTTAATATTGATTATTTCTCATGTGTTTGGTATGTTGTTTTCATTTTTTTTTTCTTATATGATGATTACTAGAATATGTATATATCCAATTACATACATAACAATAAATTTTCTCAAATACAATGAAAACTTATACCAACTCTGAATACTTGAGATTAAAATTACTCGCAAATAATGAGATTAAAATGTCCATGTGCGATTGCTCTGAGTTGGGATTTACCTTTTTGAGGGTTTAAACTCGAGTAACAAGTTAAGTTATTATTGACAATGTAGATGTAGTTTTAAGATGCTTTTATTTCTTGATTTTTTTTCCTGCCCCTCTCTCTCTCTTGAAGATTCTACCAAAACCTCTTCGATCTATGCTTTGAATTTCAACATCACATCATACCACATTAAGAAATGCTCCATTGATTCTTATATTCAAAGTTTGAGTGTTTTAGGGGAACTACTTTGCCACATAGTCTCAAAACTTTAAGGTACTTTTTTAGCTTTAACCTAATATCACCATATTTAACGTGAAAAGGTGATGAGTGGGTTTAGAATCAAAACCAAAGGGGAAGAGGAGCACCATCCTTTTTGCTCATCTTTCCCTCCTTAAAAATATTTTGTTCATGGCCAAAACCTCAAGGAACGTGATGTTATTCCCCATCATCCAAGATGCTGTTTTGAAGTGAAGTTTGGAAAGGAATATAGTAATAAATAAACCTAACTTTTATGCTTAAATGAAATCTCAAGAAGTGTGATTGGGTCTTGAGAGCTTTGGAAATGGATCGTTGGGTCTAGTGTAGGGGATGTAGTATGGTCAAACATTATTTCCAAAAAGTTGAATCCCCAATCCCAAGGTACTCCCTGTCTTGGTTTGACAAAACTTCTGAGAGGATGTAAATCATTGTAACTTAGTTGAACACTCCCAAAAGGTTGAGTCACCTGTCCCGGTTCGACAGAACTTAATGTTAAATTTTTGCTTATTGCGCACAAAGAACCCCCCTTACTGTTGTTAGTGAGACTTCATCTCGGATCATTATTCTCAAACTTCACCTATGTGACCAACTAAGCTGCTCATGTTGGCTGTAGTATGGTCAAACATAGTTGGGGATGATAAGATATGATCAATTGATTGGACATCATATGCGTGAACAAACCATTAGGATTACTAGCAATGTGGATTGCGTGAGGTACTTGTTCAAAGTAGAGGTAATGCGGTGGATAACATGTGAGTGCTCATGTAAGTTGAGAAGAACTAACAGTAAAAACATGAATGATTATTACAAGTGAGGGGCTACATAGACTCATATTTAATGTGAGTTGAATAGAACTAACAACGTGACTAAGAGCGTTATAAAAGAAAAAGCGAAAATCGTTATAAAGATAAGCATTGCAGATATCAAGATTGTTATTATACCGTGTTTTATTGCCCAATTTTTATTTTTTATTTATAGATTTAGATCTCTCACACAAAAGTACAAAGACAATTCATTTTTATATATACTTTGACTACTATGTACAGTGCCAACTTATATACGCAAATCCTAATCAAGGAGAGTTTGAACGGTGATTGACATCTCTTCTTCCCCTGCCAAACCCTACCCGAATACCCGGAACTACAATCAAGGCCGCAGCTCCTCCGCTAACGGCGGAGCTGTTACTAGACAAGCCGGAGTTCTCAGATGGCGTGGCCATGCCGGAATTGTTTGCTCCCACCCTCGCATAAACTGAATTGTCAGATTACATGCTACAATTGAACTATTTCCAGTTAAAGTAGAATATTAATGGCGCTTTGAGATTGTTCCCCGGCTCCGGCGGGCGAGACCGACGGAATTTCCTTGCAGCCGCACTTCCGGCAGCGGGCGACGACGAGGATCTGCCGGCACGAGGGGCAGGAGGAGTGGGACCCGAGCCAGGTGTCGATGCATTGCACATGGAAGCCGTGGCGACACTGCGGCAGCACTCGGATCTCGTCGCCTTCCTCGTACTCCGTCAGGCATATGGCGCAATCCGCCGGGATTTCCTTCTCGGCGGCGGCGGCGAAGGAGGGGCCGTAAGTGAACTTCGGCAGCGACCGGAGCACTTTCTTCTTCAGGCCTTTGTTCGACGACGGCTGTCCGCTTGCGCCGCCGTTTGCCCCGGCGCGGATCCTCCGGAGCCACGCACACCTAGCTACCATAACAAGCCCTACCACACATATCACGGCGCACAGTAGCGCCGCTAGGATGACTATAAAATCAGACTCCGGAGTTGCTGACGACGACGGTGGCTCCGTCGCCGCCGTCTTCGTCGGCGACGGTGGATTCGGTGATGAGTGGTTGCCGGAGAGAAATCTACGTGGAAGAGCCATATAAAGTATGAAATATGAAGTTCACGAGAAATCCTCTGTGACTTTAGTCCATATTTATACCCGTAAAATGCGTTTATCATACATTCTTACCGATATTCGGTTCAATTTTGAAGATATTTTAGGTTAAACACTTTTTGTGGGGTGTTAGTGGGTGTGTGTTAGAGTATAATTTCTCCCTACTCTAGGTTCCTCTCCCTTTGATAAAAATATATATGATACATTAGGTTTCTCAATTTAGGTCAGATTAATTATAAGCACGGTTGTAAAAATCAGCCTAGGCGGTGCCCTATGCGCTAGGTGCCCCTAGGCCATTCTGCTTTCACTATTAGGCGTCTAAAAATCGGTTGGGCGCCTAGGCGGCCGGCTAAGCGGTGAAATCGGTCAAAATCGACCAATTCGGTCGATTTCTTCCGATTTTGAGTGTGTTATTTGATTGAAGGTTGAAAATAGCCTCATTAAAATTGTCAAATTACAAGTCTTTCAGTATTTTTTTGACGCTCGCCTAGTGCCACCTAAATTCCGCCTAGGCGCTAGGCGCTACTCGAACGTCCGACTAGCGCCTAGCGCCTATTGCGACCATGATTATAAGTCTTCAAAATTTTTATCTAAAAATCATTCAAGAAACTAAATTGTGAGTCAACACATCGATACAAGCGCGAGCGTTATATATATTAAGAAAGGTTGAAAATCAAATTTAATATATTTAATTATGGCATCATATTATGTGCTTGAGAAACTCCCTCCGTCCCTAATTGATTGTCTTACTTGCTTTTTGCACGAATTTTAATACAATAAAATACTCCGTAAATGTTACTAACTTTTCAATTTTGTCTTTCAAAAATATGTGTTGTTTGTATAAAGTATAATAGTACTTACCTCTAGAAATTTGAAAAGTCAAAAGGGTAAATTAGAAAATGTAAGTGATAGTTATGTTCAATTTTAGATATGTGATACTATTTTGAGACAAACTAAAAAGGAAAGTAAGACAGGTAAAATGAGAGAGAGGGAGTATAATTTTTTTAAGAACCAGATTCATTAATTCATATCCAAAAGTAACACGTTAAATTGGAAAGATGGAGGGTTTGACAACAACTCCGAACAACTAGACATAAAAAAACAGACTGTTTGGCTAACACATGAGCTGGCCGGTTCGCTGATCGTCTAGAACAAGTTAAACTTACATGAGTAAACTCATTCAACAAGTTAAACTTACATGAGTATAGGCCCTGTTTGGTAAATGGTTGTTGGTTGTTAGCTGATTGGGTTAATTAGAGGGTATAACTAGTTAATAACATTAGCTGATGATTGTATAAAGGTGTTTGGTAAATTAGCTGATAGCTGATAGCTGTTTGATATAATTTTTTTTTTCTCAAAAAGCTAAGTGAAAAAGTTGTTTTGAGTCACTTTTTGAATTTTAGCATTTTGGAGTTACAAAACACTTATATTTAATTTTTTTAACCAAGTCAAACAATTAATAGTAGTCAAATAAGTCAAAATAGACTGATAGTGATAGGCTAATATTTTAACAAACAGGGCCATAATTTTTAATTTTTTTTAATGTACCCTAGGTTTCCACACCTAACTGCTAGAAACAAGTGTTAAGTGAAAATATAATTTTAATCAAGGATGATTAAGTATGTGGAATATTATTCTCATACAAAAATATTACGAATTCAATCATATTATTTTATCAGGCCATGGATAGTGACTACACATTTTTATTGTAACTCAAAAATATAGTATATTTTATCCTAATGTCTATATGTCGAAAAGTTTATGATTTTTTTTGATGGACATAAAACAAAAAGACGAGTTTTCATCTTTCATAAGTTGTGCAATTTTTATATACCAAGATAGATTATAAATTTCAAAACAAAATGACAAATTAATTTTTTTTTTAAATTATGTTTCTTGATACATTTGTTTAATTTTTGGTAATTTTATTTTATAGTTACGTTATTTGAAGTTTTAGTATTTTTAAAATTATAGCAAATTTTATGTGGTGCATACAATGTGCAAATGAGGGGATTTAAGGTATAATTTAATTAATTTTAATTTATACTATAAACAATTCCTTTTACAATTTTTATTCACTTAGATAGATTAAATTTAAAATGGGAGAAAACTTAAAATTTACATAACACATTAAGACTGAGCACTAGTGGCATATCAAAAGTAAACAATAGTATAAGACACAGATTTAGGTGCACACTATGTGCTGAGATTAAGGTGTAAATTAATGATAAGTCATAAAACAAGTAACAATTGTTGTCATTTCTGTCTATTTATATGGACTAAAATTCAAAATATAAGTAAATTAAAAATTTGTACTAAATATTACTCCCTCAGTCTCATTTTATGTGTCCAGTTCAATTAACGAGGCTTGACTAGAGTCATTTTTAATTCAATTTTTCATAATATTAAGTTTAGTATTAGTATACAAAATTTATATATATATATATATATATATATATATATATATATATATATATATATATATATATATATATAAACTACACTAAAAGTAGTATTAAACACAACAAATCAAATTTAAAAATAAGTAAAGAATATTAAAAAAATAAACAAAGAACAAATAGTTTGTTTGACCAATGAATAGTAAGTATGACATATAAAATGAGACAGATGGAATAGTAGTGAGCAATAGTGGCATTAATTGGGTGGTATTTGAATTAAAAAAATGAAGAGAAAAAAAAAACAAACAAATTTGATGATCAATTTTTCATATATTGGTGGTCGTCCACTTTTGGGTGCGAGTATAACAAAATCCAGATTTTACATGAGTGAGCAAAAAAAAATGTAACATAACTTTATATGTTATGTGAAAAACTATAGTGGCACGTGGTAGTGATTATAACAAAGCATAGAGTTCACGCGAGTGAGCAAAAAAAAAAAATAATAATATGATTTTATACGTTTATGATAAAAGATGTAGTACGTAACACGTATAAGTAACGGTTGTAATGGAATCAATATTTCATGCGAGTGAAAAAAGAATGGTAACATGACTTCATATGTTTCAAGAAAAATTGCAGTGACACATAGGTAGTAGTTATAACCGCGTCCAGATTTCACGTAAGTTAGCAACAAAGGTAATATGACTTTATGCGTTACAAGAAAAAGCAGTAGTGGCAAGTGCGTAGAAGACATAGCAAAGTCCGAATTTCATATGAGTAAGCAAAAAAAGGCAAAATGAATTTATACATTACGAGAAAAGCAATAGTGGCAAGTTGCTATCTAGCCGTTATAACAGAGCCAAAAATTTCACGTGAGTAAGCAAAAAAAGCAGTATGACTTAATGCGTTATGAGAAAAGTGATAGTGGCAACTGGCAAGTGGGTAGCAGTTATAGTAGAGCTTGAATTTCACGCAAGTAGGCCAAAAGAGAGAGAGAAAAAAAAAAGACTTTGTGTTACTGGAAAAACGGTAGTAACATGTGGGTAGCGGTTATACTATGACTCTAAATTTATGTGAATTAAATAAAATATGCAACGTGAAGTGAAAAGCTTTGTGAAAATATAGTTATAAAACAGAGATGCAGCTCTATGGAGATGGCATTGTTTTTTTCATTTAGGTCTAAGGGAGCGTTTACGGCTCGATAGAGAGAAGGGTGTTCAGAAGGTTCTCGTTGAGCTAAATTCGGAAGCTGTCATTGAGGTGATGAATGAAAGTTTCCTGGGGATAACCTTCCCTCACTCGTTATGGATTGTAATTAAGTTTCTTGTAGTTTTGATTGTGTGGTTTTCTCACATATTATGAGAGAAGGAAACAAGTGTGCAGACTAGTGACTAATCTTGGGCGGACGGTGAGACGGACAATTGGGGGACTAGGATATTGGAGGACCCTCCAGATAGGATGCCTGGGCTTTGTCAAGTTGATGCTGGAGGAGCGAAATTTAGAATAATCAAATCACCGCTCATGTCTTCTTCACCCAAAAAAAAAAAAAAAACATTTACATTTTAGGTTTTATTATTACAGAGTATTTTTTTAAAGATTTATGTTTTTTAAAAAATCAGATAATCAGACCCCTCCTTTTGTCCAAAATAAAAAATATAAAAATATGTCATAAGCAAAAATATTAAGACAAATAAATTTTATACTTTGACTGCCATTACACTATTACAGTGCCAGCCTATATGGCTATATGTGCATACTGCATAGGCAATGACACCTCTTCTTGACGTCTTCCCTGCATATCGACCGACCCGACCCGAATACCCGGAACTACACTCAAGGCGGCAACTCAGCCACCTACGGCGGAACTGCCACAAGACACGGCGGAGCACGCACATAGTGCCGCCATGCCGGAACTGCTTGGTTCCACTCTCGCAAACTACTGAATTGTCAGATAACATTTTTTACAGCTACAATTGAACTCCATTTCCGGTTAACCTAGAATATTACTGGTGCTTCGAGAATCTTCTCCGGCTCCGGCAGCCGAGACAGACGGAATCTCCTTGCAGCTGCACTTCCGGCACCGGGCGACGACGAGGATCTGCCGGCACGACGGGCAGGAAGAGTGTGACCCGAGCCAGGTGTCGATGCATTTCACATGGAAGCCGTGGCGGCACTGCGGCAGCACTCGGATCTCGTCGCCGTCCTCGTACTCCGTCAGGCATATGGCGCAGTCGGCCGGGAATTTCCCGTCGGCGGCGAAGGCGGGGCCGTAAGTGAACTTAGGCAGCGACCGGAGCACTTTCTTCTTCAGACCTTTGTTCGACGGCGAGCGCTGTCGGCTTGCGCCGCCGGCCGCCCTTGCGCGGCGGCTCCGCCGGAGCCACGCACACCTGGCTAGCGGAACAAGTCCCGCCACGCACATTAGTGCGCAAAGTAGCGCCCCTATGATGACTACAATATCAGGCTCCGGGACTACATTGGACGGTGGATCCGCCGCCACCGCCATCATCGGCGACGGTAGATTCGGTGATGAGTGTTTGCTTGAGAGGAATCTACGTGGAGGAGCCATATCGAGTTCGCGAGAAGTCCTCTGTGACTTCAGTCCGTATTTATATCCGTCAAATGAGTTTATCCGACAGATATTCTGTTCAAATTTAAGAAATTTTAATCAATTTTAATATTTGTAAAATTTTACATAAGATAAATCTCACTTATATAGTTTAATGTAATAATTTATAAATCACAAATTATACATGAGAATTAAATCACACTACTTAAAACTTACCAACAGATTAACTTGACCAAAACAAATTTGATGAGCAATGTTTTTTTTATTTTATTTTTAAAATTTGAAATAAACAAAGAAAAAAATAACTACACACAAATAACGGGAAAGATAAATGAGTATTTGATAAATAACTGTTACCTGATTGAGTTAGTATGTTTTATTTCACATATAATTATTAAGTTTTTAGTGAATAAAAATATAATAATTTACAAGTTTAGTGAATGCACAACAATTACAATGAAAAGTTTTGATGAGTGTGTATAGAATAAATTTCTCTCAAATTATATGTATTAGTAATAACTAAACTCGTGATATTGTAAATTAAGAATTTCCTAAAAACACATAAAAAATTGAATTGGATTGGGATTGCAAATGGCCAAAACAGTATGGTGCAAAATTCAAAACAAGCAACATGATTTTGCAGTCTGCACTGAACTTTACAGTAGAATTATGTTGCCATATATATGCCTAACAACAATGATAACTAGTAGAGTTGTTATGCCACGACTCTGGTATTAAACCGTATAAATTTTATATTTTTAGTATTAAAATTTTGAACTTTTAGAATATAAATTGTATTTCTAAGTCACAACATATAACAACGGTAGCCTGTAGGGATTATCAAATCTTAATATGTTAATATTGTGCGATTGCAATATTTGAAAGAAACTTGTGAATACGAAACAAGGTAATCAATTATACATATGTTAACATTGTGTGCTCGTAGTATACGAATTGTAAAGTTTTTAAGAGTTAAATTGTGAATATTTAGTAGGTAAATTGTGAACATTTGGACACAGGTCTACCTTGCAAGGTGGGCTCGAGTCCACTGAATAATTTGTGCAATTGAGTTGCTATACCATGGACTAAGGTCCATCTTGCAAGGTGGATCCTGGTCCTAAACGACGTATAATTATGTATGTTTAGTATTGAAATTGTGAATTTCTATAATATAAATTGTGTTTCTAAGTCAAAACACATAACAACTGTAGAAGAGAATTTGTGAATATAGGGTTATCAAATCGGGTCATCAAATCATAATATGTTAATATTGTGTGACTGTAGTATTTGAAAGGAACTTATGAATACAAAACAAGATAATGGTGTTCGTAGTATATAAATTCTAAATTTTTAAAGGGTAAATTGTGAATATTTGGACTCGTGTCTACAGAATAATTTGTAAACATATGAAGGGTCATTCCTGATTGTGGCCAAGGTAGGTAAGGTTTTGTATAGCCTTGACCTACCTAGTTCAACTAAAATCCATCGGGTCTTCAACATAAGTATGCTCAAAATATATCATAAAGATGTGGAAGACCCAAGCCGTGGGTTATCACAATGAGCACCATCTGTACATGGTCGTTAAGTCTTTCGACCAAGACATAGAAGATGTGTAAGGTAGTTCGTGAAAAGGGAGTTTTGCCTCAAACGCACTACCTTATCAAGTGGAAGAGACTGTCTGAGTCGGAGGCAACATGGGAACTCGAAGATGATCTATGGCAGTTTCAAGACAAATTGGAAGCTTACAAGGCAACAAGAATGGAACCGAATTAGTTGGGAAGGATGTAGCGCCCAGGGCACTTTGCTATGACTTTTCGAGGTTAGCTATATTGTTCTAGATCTTTCTTACACTTAAACATAGTTTCTCTTAGTTTGTAGAATATTCTAAAAACTTATACATAGTTTCCTTGGTAGATTCATAAAACATTTTAAATCCCGGCCTAAACCTTAGGTTTGTATAGAGTTTTAGGAAAAGTTCCAGATATTAATTTATAGCCGTACAATCCCGTAGATCTCCACCTTTCATTAAAGAGGTGGAATGGGTATACATACCCCTCAAAGGGCTCATTTTGTAACCATTCAATAGTTTGAATAACCCAAGTTTCATATAAAGCTTACGAGTTCTTTCTTAAACTTTCTTCTGAGATCTTTCCTTGCTCACCTCGTTATAATCTCTAGTGTACCAAAATCTAGAACTACAACAACTAACCTTGTAGTCAAACGTAGGACATCATCCACTCATACATCAAAACACCAATTTGAATGGTATCTAGAGACCATTCAAATTGGTGTTTTACACATACATTTAAAATCACCAAGAAATACTCATTATGAACAATAGAAAACATATATCCTCTCTTCAAACCAAAAACTATTACATGACTTGAAAGTAAATAGAACATTTTACTCGTATCCTCAGTAAAGTACTTGCAGATCATCAATATCTCCACAAAGAACTATGATATTGACAATAATCCTATATAAAATTAATTCACTTTCGAAACAGCTTCATAAAAGACTATCTCAATAAATTTTGTTATGCATAGAAACACATGTAATATAGCAGATTGCATCCCAGGTGGAGGTGATGCAATGAATTTGGTCAATGAAAAATTATGTTTTACATTGCGTCACAGGTAGATATGATGACGTAATTGGTTTGGTCAATGAAAAAATATGTCTTACATTGCGTCACAGGTAGAGATGATGAAAAAAATATATCTTTTTATCCGGATAGTTGATACAACAGGAAATTTAGCACTCAGTAATTAAATGCCTCCATCACATCCTTAAGTTGAATATTTGCATTCCTCACACAATTCCATTTCTAAATTCTTCATTACTCCTGGATGTGATAACCCGAATATAACACAGATTTTAGAAGCCCAATGAAATAAATGGCTATTTACTCAGGAAAAAAGTGGAAATGGATAACCAGAAAAGTTTTAGCCCAGAAGACATCATAACCAACGCATTAAATGGACCTTAGAATTAAAGTCACTACATATAATATATAAATGGGCTTGGCAAATTATATTATACACATCAGAATTTATCTTACAAAACAGACCATGATACAGATTGATTATATTTTCATACAAATTTATTTTTTAATGTAGTCAAAATAAACTAATAAAATAGTATAAATGAACATGTATCAAATATTTTATCTTACAAGATAGACTCCAATCCATGATATAACGATTGTGATAGGCCGAGCTTGACCACACATTGTTACTATTTAAGTTGGACCTCATCAACTTAATTGACTTAGTTTATGAAGAATGTGTTTTGCTACTGTAGGTGATTGGTTTAGACTAATTTGATCTAGTAACCACTTATAGTTTACCAGGTCTTCGAGGCACAATTCAACTAGACATCCAAGTCAAAATAAGTTCATAAACTTTACTTTGTTAGCAACCGTAAGGTGAATGGTTTAAATCCTACTAAGAATAAAAAAGAGAAGATATGAATTTGGATTTGTTATAAAAACTAATGCATATTTCACAATTTACTTTATTCATTAGTCTTCGAGTTAAAAATAATGAAGACTACTTAACTCCTTTCATTTAATGCTCAAACTTATACTTTGGTAGTTTACCAACCTTATTTCTAAGAAAAGAATACTCCTAACTAAGGTTAGAGTATGAATGTCCCCACTTCTTTTGTTGTCATCACAAAGGTAATATTTTTAGATTTAAAAGAAATGTTAATTTCAAATGGTTTAGCACTAGGCATTTATTTAAGCCAAAAATTGTATAGTTGAGACAATTGTGAAGCCATTAATTGAAGTGTACAGATTCCCATGTCATTTTCGCCGGCCCCAAGACAAAGTCAGACTTTTTAGCCATTCTTCATCAATACTACAACGTACTGAGGGAGTATTAAATGCCATTTGTAATTAATTTATATACTTTAGGACTATTAAAATGGAGACAAATATAATATTTTCTATGATCTTTGATTTATGAGAAAGGTCATAATTGTTACTTGAGTATGTATTTGGGATTAAATTGACATTTTGATACTAATCAACCAGAGACTATAAAGAGATAAATCAATTTAAATATGCTTATACATGAATGACTCAAACTAAAAAGGTCAATAAGTAATTTATATAGGAATTCGAACTTGAAAGTTCGTGTAGTTACTAAGCATTATTCGACCAATTTAGTTGGGAATTGTCTTACCTTTATTAAGGTAAAAGTTCAATCTTGAGAGCCCTCACTAGAGCTACCACAATAGTGCATGGTTTTTGCTCAGTTTTTGAAGAGATTTTGGGTGAAGTGGAAGAAAGAGAATGATTGAGGTCATACTGTAAGAACTTGATTTTTGTCTGTGAAGTGAGCCCCACCACAACGCACCAACAACACCATTTGTCGCGTGGGACACAACAATAGAGCCCACCCTTTTTTTGTTTTTTCCTTGAAAACTCATTTTCTTGTTTTTTCCATTCATCCTTCTCTCCTACTTGGCATCTTTAAATTTGTACAAAAAACCAACTATTACACTAAAAGCTTGCTACACTAATGTCCACAAATGATCTAACTCTAAACGGCATAAGTCAACGTTGTTGAGATCCGCTTCACTAGTCATTTCTACTCCGTGCACACTCTCAAATTGTAGTGATAGATTTCACTCTCACCCAATTTTTTTTTTACTATTTATGAATTGATCGACTCCATACAATGATACATTAATAAAAAGGATTATCAATTGAGTAGAGCGTGTTTTCAAAAAAATAAAATAAATAAATAGAGCGTGATTATTGTACTAAAAAGTTTCGAGTTTAATTCTGACAAATAATCTCTCTCTTATATATTTTAGTGTTGCGGCAATGCGCATGAAAGTGCCCGCCAAGTTCGGAGTTTGTCCCGAGTTCTAACCAGAAGTCCATAACTAACATTCTCTTTCTCCTTCACCCGCGCACAACAAACAGAAAATTTGAGGTGGAATTTTCAAATCTCTCTGATTTTCCCAAAGATTGGAGCATCCTCCGTCAACAACGAGGTTTTCACCACGTATATCACCCAATCCAATCCAATAATGCTACGTTCCAAATCCAGGTAATAAAGCCGCACTCATCCTTCCATTTCCTCCCTTTTTTCTCTTTCTATTGTACATAATCATCCTCCATTTTTGTTTTCGTTTCTGAGGTTTTCTCGGATTCGGAGAGTCACAAACCATTGTATATGTGTGTATTATTATGATCGTAAAGGATGAATGAGTGAATGTTTGTACGTTTGTTTGATTTGTGTTGGTTGTTTGGGGGGATTATAGATCTGGATCGGTTGATTTTCGACAGAGCAGCAATCATCACTCGGTGTTTGCAAGAACAATCTCTGCATCCAAGCTCTGTAGAGGCGACGCTTTAGGATCGCAGATCGATGCCGAAGCCGTTGTTTCTCTGCAACGGAAGCCTTCCAAGACTGAGGTAATTTGAAAAGATGTATAAATTTCTTCAAGAGTTTGTTTCTTAAATCACTGGTTTCGTTTTATCACTTTGATTTTTGGGTTTCAATTCTGTTAAGGCTATGAAAATCTTACGTATTTTAGTTCTTACATTAAGGCCGTAAGGACAAAAAGGTAATTTCCATACATCCTCCGAGGACCTCAGAAGCATTTTTTTTTTCGTAAGTTAAAGCTACAACTTTAGTTAATTATGCTCTTAGATAAATGAAATACTTCAGTTATGGACCTGCCATATATAATAAGAGCATCCACAATAGTTGATCTCTGTTGCAGTTTTTGAGGGATTTTTGTAAGTGTGATTATGAAAGAGAATGTGAGAGAGAGAGAAAAAAAATCAAAATTAAATTTTTTTAAAAAAATATTAAAGTACATAGGCGCGCCGACTTGGCCCTGACGCGTGCACGCGCCCGGCTACGGCCTTGCTGTGCGCCAAATGCGCATAGCGTGTACTTTCTTCTTTCCCATGTTACTGTTCCAATCTCTCGTGTCTTGCAATTGCTCCCCCCATTTTCTTTTCTACACTCGTTCTCAAAAAAATTTTCTCTTCTATACTCTCTCTCCAATTTGTCATAACTTTTTCTTACATTATCCCTTAAATGTCCCCGTATAATCTTGCTCTAAGTCTTCTTCCTACACTCTCTCCAATTTGTCATAACTTTTTCTTACATTATCCTCTATATAACCCCTGATAATGTTGCTTTAAGTCTTCTTTTAGTTATGGCTACCTAAACAAAAGTTTTGAAGCCCACAAAAGGGAAAAAGTATAGAAATTACTTAATTACTTGATTGTTGTTTAATAGATTTATTGACGAATGACTAAAATATAGGTAAAATTTTCCCGGTTAAAAACTTTATTAGGAAAAATTACAAGTCAAGAACCAAATGATGATCATTATGAAAATCAAAGATAAGAATTCTTGTGGATTGGTAGAATGTTGATTATGAGTTGTGAAGGATTTGTGTGTTTGATGCAGAGTGGGATTAATAGAGTCACAGTAGTGCTGCAGAAGCAAATGGGGGAGCTAGAAGAGGAGCTGAGGGATACCAAACAGAAACTATGTTCCGCCGAGGAGGACAGAAACCAAGCCCTTCGGGAACTAAGGGAGATAAAAGAGGTAGTTCAGGAGATCAAGTCATTGAAGGATTTGTTGTCTTGTACACGAGAAGAGTCGAATGCGAAAGACAAGGATATCCAGTCTTTGAGAGCGGAGCTGGACAGTGCCAGGGATTTTGAGCTTAAGTTGTTGCAAAGAGACTCGAGTTTAGAGAGGTTGAAGGAGGAATTGGGCGATGCAGCGAGGGATTTGCTGGATGATCACAGGAGGAAAATCCAGGAGCTAGAAGATGAAGTGGAGGACAGGAAGCTGTCGGAGTGCCAGGCTTTGGATTCCTTGGAGTCTCAGACGAAGGCGTTTGAGCAGACTAAGATTGAGTTGGAAGAACACAAGGAGAGAATTGGTTCACTTGTTGAGAGGATTCAGTTGTTGGAGGCAAATTCCAGGAAGAAAAGAAGCCAGTCCAGTGATTCTTCTGATGATGATTTTCGTCATTCAAAGAGAGAAGAACCTGAACTTCGAGTCTTAAAACAGAAGCTGGCAAAATCTGAAGAGAGCGAGAGAATCGCGTTATCAAAGGTTAGTAGGTTGACAGACGAACTAAATACGCTCAAGAATGAACTGAAGTACGCTACTGGTGCAGAGGAACAGAGCAGTATGGCGATGGATGATTTAGCACTAGCGCTGAAGGAAGTAGCAACAGAGTGTGCCGAGACTAAAGAAAAGCTTTTCACTACTAAGTCGGAGCTCGATCAAGTGAAAGAAGAGTTGCAAAAGATGACAGAGATGGTGGGGAGCACAGAAGAAAAGTATGAGAAGCTTTTGGATGAGGCGAAAAATGAAATCGAGCTGCACAAAAAAACAGCTGAGAGGTTGAGATCAGAAGCCGAGGACACACTTTTTGCTTGGAACGGGAAGGAGATGGGATTTGTGACTTGTATCAAGAGGGCCGAGGAAGAAAGGGCGCTTGCTCAACATGAAAACACTAGGCTGGCCGAGGCACTAAAAGCAGCTGAGCACATGACTAGGGCAGCAAGGGAAGAAACCTACAAACTAAGGGATATAATGAAACAGGCCGTTAATGAAGCCACTGCAGCAAAATCAGCAGCTGATATTGCACGGGCAGAAAATTCTCAGCTCAAAGATCTGTTGACTGACAAGGATGAAGCCGTGCATTTCCTTTCTCGTGAGAATGAACGTCTCAGGATCAACGAGGCTGCAGCTAATGAGAACGCCAAGCAGTACAAACTAATGCTTTCTTATGTGTCCCAAGAGTTGAAGGTTGAGGAAAGGGATCACGAAGGGATGAAGACCCCGAATACAGATAGCGAGGGGCATGAAGATGAAGAAGAAGAAGAAGAAGTAGAAGAAGAAGACGAAGATGAGGAGAACAAAGAGGATAGAAAATTCAGCATTGATCTCAGAGAGCTGGCATTGCTCAAAGAGGACGAGGATGATACACAATCAAGAATTGAACATGAGGATCCTGAAAAGGCCGAGGCACTCAAGGGCTCCATCTTTGATACCCCTTACTCACCCAAGTCAGAGCCGCGCACCCCAAAGCAACAACCAGTTCATCATCGCCGCAAGTCTACTGCCTTTGCAGATGCTGAAGATTCACCAAACACAGAAGATGCTGGTGAAACTATAGATAATAGTCATCATGTAGATGAGTCAGATAGTGAAAAGAATTCGCATAGAAGAAAAAAAGCATTGCTTCGCAGAGTTGGAGACCTCATATTGAGAAAGAGTTTCAGTAGGAAGGAGCCATCCCCAGTTCCACCTTCATCCCCAGCAGCACACACTTCATCCCCAGCCCTGGAGTAGGCCTATACTGCACATATAGCTAAACCTGAAATGGTATGAATTTTTTGTTTCATAATATCCTATAAAGAAATACTTCTTTTATCAGGGAGAAAAATGAGGTGACAAATTATAAGCCTCTTTTCACCTTTATTTTTTTTAATTTTTAATTTGTAATTTTTTTTTACTTGCTCTTGGCAATCTTGTACTATGGCATTTGTACAGAGCAATCCATCATAGAAATATATTTTCATTTGGAAACATCCCATGGAAAAGAAATGCCATTGTTTGTCCTGAACACTAACAATGCAAAAGCTAATGAATATGTAAATTTGAATACAAATATTGAGTGTAAATAAGTTGGACACAACATTCTGGGCAATATCATGAATGTAATTCCTTCATTAAAGTGAATAATCCTTAATGTCTGAATTTAAAAGGGCAACCACAATTCACATAAATGACAACCTTGAAACACTGAATAACAAGAAATGGCAGCTTTGAATTGCTGGAAATCATTTAATACGTAGCACCTCACTCACACTTTACTCATCTTTATCTTGTTTTGGTGCTTCTTTGATTTCATCAGTTCCATCATCCTAACCAAGAAACAAAACCAAACATACAATTAGTAAAACCATCTTATCTACAAGACATGTAGAAATAAGGAAATTTCTATGGTGTTGTAGAAACGAATTATAGACAAATTACCTGCATATCTGAAGTCCACAGAGTGAGATTATCACGAAGGAGCTGCATAATGAGAGTGCTATCCTTGTAGGACTCCTCTCCAAGAGTATCGAGCTCGGCAATGGCTTCGTCAAAGGCCTACTCATAGTCAAAGAAATCAATTGAACCCAACAATATTAGATACTATGTAAATGGGGTTTGACATTGCAAAGCAGATTAAAGGTATTAACTTTTGAAAAATTTGTTCACCTGTTTGGCCAGATTACACGCTCGATCAGGAGAATTTAAGATCTCGTAGTAGAATACAGAGAAGTTGAGAGCCAAGCCCAGTCGGATTGGATGCGTGGGAGCTAGTTCTGCAACGGCAATGTCCTACAAAACCAGCACAATCAACTCGGTAATAAGATTTCAAGTTTACATTTCGAAACGAAACAATGCGAGATTCGAAAACGGCATTTGAAAAAGTTTAGTATATTTATATTTGAGTCGAAATCGTACCTGTGCTGCTTTGTAAGCGGAGAGAGTGTTCTCCGCGGCCTCTTTCCTATCGGCTCCGGTTTTGAACTCAGCCAAGTAGCGGTGATAATCTCCCTTCATTTTCAAATAGAAGATCTTAGAGTCGCTGGAAGAAGCGGAGTCGATGAGAGTAGAATCGAGGAGATTGAGGATGCCTTTGCAGATCGATGTCAGTTCTAATTCGATCTTAGATCTGTACTCCTTGATTGATGCCACATGGTCCTCGTTGCCGCGGCTCTCCTCTTTCTGCTCAATGGAGGAGATGATGCGCCACGAGGCGCGCCGAGCGCCGATCACGTTCTTGTACGCGACGGACAGCAGGTTGCGCTCCTCCACTGTGAGCTCCTCCGCGCCGCCTGCCGCCGTCACCACCTTCTCCATGAACTCCACCATCTCCTCGTAGCGTTCCGCCTGCTCCGCAAGCTTCGCCATGTACACATACTCCTCGCGTGTCGACGCCATTGTCACAGAGAGGTTTGAGAATGAAAGAGAAAGAGAGAGAGAGAGAGAGAGAGAGAGGAAATGAGGTATGGCGAAGTAAAAGTGAAGGAGCGGTTTTTGGTTTCTCCGACCTCGAGTTTGACTGCTGTCTGAATAACATAGAGAACGAAATTTGGGCCGATAGCCCAAACTGAAATAATTTAAACACAATCCGGGCCCATAAAATGGACCGTTAGGCCCAGATATCCAAATCCGGTGCTATAAAAATTCTTCTTAGCCAAATTTTAACCCTAGCAGACCAGGGTTTCTTCATCGTCTCCGTTGCGTCGTTGCCTCCTCCGAGTACCGCAGCAGAAGATGAAGGTACCTCCGAATTTCTCTCATTGTCTAAGATTACAGTACATGTTCTTCGTATTTTTTTTGAATCGTTCTACTTTTCTTCTATGCTTTTGTAGTTCAACATCGCAAATCCGACCACTGGGTGCCAGAAGAAGCTCGAGATCGACGATGATCAGAAACTGTGCGTTTCACTTTACTCATTCTTCATTTTCACCATTACTGCGTTGTGTTGAACTTCTGTTTTAATCAATTTTTCGTTTTGGAATCTCTTGTTAGTTTTAGTTGATTCATGTCCAAACAAACTAGCGGTCGGTTTTCTGTCTCTAAATAGCCAGCTCAAATGTGTTACAAGATATTTTATAATCTATTTGATGATGCCTGAGAAAAGTTCTATGCTATGAGGCAATGAAGAAGCTACTAATAGTTTAAATTTGTATATGTTACGTATTAGTTCTTATCCTAGGGTATATCTGTTGGACTGTTTATATTTGTATCATTTGCATTTGCATTCTGAAGTATGCAGCTTTTATGTAGCTTTCTTTTCTTGTTTATTATAAGGTTTGAATTCTATCTTATGGAAAAAGGAATTGGTTGGAACTATTGTGCTACATAATGAAGTTACAGTTATATGACTTGTTCATATTGTGTGTTAATTAATCAATTACATTAATTAAGTTTTAAACTTTTATTCCTTAATGGTTCAGTGCTCTAATGCTCTTTAAATTATAAGTGATGATATATCCATTCCATATGCTATGATGTGAGCATACACTTGCATTAGAAGCATGGGATGCGCATTGTGAATCATCAATTTGTATAATGAAATTAATTTTAATTCTTTGTTCTACTGTTTAGCTCAGTGCTTATTTTTTTGCAACCAGTATTTACTAAATTACTGACTTGTGATACTGAAATTCAGCCGAGCCTTTTTTGACAAGAGGATTTCTCAGGAGGTCAGCGGCGATGCCTTGGGAGATGTAAGTAAATTTTATCTTTTTATATGCAGTAGTCTTACTTGAATTATTAACTGAACTTGTAATAAGTACTAAATATGTCTTGTATTTTACAGGAGTTCAAGGGATATGTGTTCAAGATTATGGGTGGCTGTGACAAGCAAGGTTTTCCCATGAAACAGGGAGTTTTGACTCCAGGCCGTGTTCGCCTTCTACTCCAGCGTGGTATGTGGACTGTCACTCTGTTTAATGTTGTTTGGTCTTTGTTAGTTAAACTTTTACCTGGTTGGAAATATAATATTCATAATTGGTAAACAGGTACTCCATGTTTCCGAGGGTATGGAAGGCGTAATGGTGAGCGCAGAAGGAAGTCAGTTCGTGGATGCATTGTCAGTCAGGATCTGTCTGTTCTGAATCTGGTGATTGTGAAAAAGGGTGAGAGTGATCTTCCTGGCTTGACTGACATTGAGAAGCCGAGGATGAGAGGTCCCAAGAGGGCTTCAAAGATTAGGAAGCTTTTCAACCTCTCGAAGGACGATGATGTAAGGAAGTATGTCAACACCTACCGCCGTAATTTCACTACCAAATCCGGTAAGTAGTTTTCTTCAGCTGCCTCTCTTATACTTGAATGCACCAGTAAGGTTGTGGATTATTCTGGAATTTCATTCAGTCTTGTGATTAAAACTATATTTTGTTGTGTGCTTGCAGGGAAGAAGGCAAGCAAGGCTCCTAAGATACAGAGGCTTGTCACTCCATTGACTCTCCAGAGGAAGAGAGCTCGAATTGCCCAAAAGAAGCAGAGGATTGCCAAGGCCAAGACTGAAGCTGCTGAATACCAGAAACTGCTTGCCTCTAGGTTGAAGGAGCAGAGGGAGAGGCGCAGTGAGAGTTTGGCCAAGAAGAGGACCAGACTCTCTACTGCCTCAAAGCCATCCGTTGCTGCTTAAAGCGATAGAATTGCAAATGCCCTACTTCATATTGTCTTCTTAGTTCTTTAATATCGAGGATTTTTGTCTTGCGAATTTTGGAGTTCATTCAACATTCTACTTCATACTATTATCCTCAAGTTTGAAATGCTCTTTTACTGTGTTTGAGATTGATGTTCTCAATTTGTTTTGCACTCTCTGAATTTCCTTATTTGCTAAGTATTTCTTTTTATTACGTCTATTTTTTTTTCATGACGAAAAAAACTTAACTATTATTTGATGGTGTGAATTTAGTAAATTTTGTCTTGTAATCATAGCCAATAAAGAATATAGGCCAACTAACTCATTTATTTGTTTAAATAAAAGAAGGTTACTATACTGTAATTAGAATTAATTAATGACATCAGTAATTTGAATAAATTAAACTTGTAAAAATGAAGTAAATTTCATTTTTAACTTTAGTTAGCCGATAGTTATGTTGTGCGACAGTGTGCACCATGCAATTGCAAAACGACGTCGTTTTGATTAAAAATGCATGTCATATTTAAAAAAAAAACAGTTTTGATTTCCCTTAACAGTATTATGTTGTTCATAGTTCATTCATTCTGGATTTTATGTTATTCATTCACTGTGGATATATAGTTACTAATTTGTGAATATATAATTCAAATTATGCACAAAAAAATACTACTGTCGAGAATCGAACCTGAATAAAGAAATGCTATTGTCGGAAATTGAACTTGAATTTCTTTCTTTAAGTGGGACGCACGTTTTTAGTCAAAACGACGTTGTTTTTACAACTGTGTGCACCATACATGGTGCACACGATTGCACAGCATAATTTGCGTTAGTTAGCAAATGATGGCCAAAGCACTGCTACATCCCTCTACTGTAACATTTTAGTTCTTTGTACCTTAATTTTGTTCAATTCAATTCTTGTCAGATTTTGTGACATGGTATTACCTTGTCAAGTTTTGTGATGTGACATAAAACAATATTTTCAGACAAAAAAGGTAAGTATTCAAACCCTGGACCTCTTGTCTTGTTTAAAGATTAAGCTCTCCTCCACCAAGCTACACATTAATCTTGTTACAAGATACTTAAAACTTTTAAATAATTTTCATCCTAATGGCATAAGTTATACACATCCATCCTTGACTCATCCACCATCACCTATATGGCTATATTACTACCACTCAACTAAAATAAAATAAAAATTAAAAAAAACCACACCATTGTTGATTGCCAAGTACTTTTCACCCCTTTCCTCTATCGTTGACTCGTTGTTTAGGATTTAATCTAAAACAATCACATATTTTTAAGGCCGAAATTCGAAAATTCACCTTCGTAATCTACCTAAGATCATTTTCATTATGACATAGCTTTTAAATCTCTAACCTCAATCTAATGGATATCTCTTATATTATTAGAGCTCATATCAAAGTTGGCTAGTCTCTCTTTACCTCATTCCTCACTCATCGTCGTCAACTAGTATAATATAGTTACTAAAAATCAAATGTTACCTAAAGTTTTAAATCAATTAAATTGGTTGAAACTAGAAAAATAATAAAAGAAAAATATGAAAAAACAAAAATGTCCTTATTAAAAATATAAAAAGTCATTAGAAGGACTAAAAGTACCCAAAAAATAATAGTATAAGATGTTAAATGGTAAAAACGATAGTGTGGGACAAAATTTGGAATTACCACCAAAGACAATGGACCTATAATGAATTAACTCTAACTTTAAGTATGCTAGGAGAATTCTAGAAAATTAATATGTGGACCCAAGTTCAAATATACACAATTTACATACTAAATGTTTACAATTTACATTTTATTTTTTTTGAAAACCAAAAGACGAGATATTATTAAATCAAAGTTTGAATACAAGTAGGAATAGTAGAAAACCAAATAGAAGGATCAATCTGCGAATGAGCAGTCTGAGCTAAAGCATGAGCGACCTTATTCAGAGGAACAAATTTAAAGGACACTATTTCAAAGTGTCTTTTGTAACTTCTTATCTCATTGATTACACAGTCAACATATGATAGATCCTCGCGTGGTTGATTAATCGAATTGCAAACCATCTGGCAATCTAAACATACCATAATTCTTGTATATTGTCTATCCTTTGCTCAAGATAAAACTTCCTTCAAAGCCATAGCCTCTGCGAGATGAGCATCTTTCAGGCACACCACAGTTTGGGAATAGAAACACTGATCACTTCATCTGCCTAATGTATAATTCTACGTATTTCTTCCGCGACTTCGGACATCAGATTCACTTAATTGCTTATATTTATTTATTTATTTTGAAAGGAATTGCTTATATTTATATTTAGTCCTTGCTATTATTTACACCACTCTATGAGTTTCCCGCCTATTACAATTTACAACCTACCTTTAACTACTGGTATCTGGAAAGTAGACGGAAATGGTAGGCATCTCAGCCGGACGTTTTAGAGTGCAACAGAAGCAACCCGTTTCCATTGCTAAATTGGTGGAGGAATCTTCAAGCTCCGAACAGGCTGAATCCTGGTACGCATTGATTATCAGATGTGTCCGGCTGACAATGTTAGCGCAGAAGAAGCAGCATGTTTCTGATGCAAAACTGCCTCATAAATTTTCAGCTCCCAAACAGCTTGAATCGTTATACGGGCTGATGATCAAACTTGGCTTAACCAAAGACTGCTTCCTGATGAACCGATTCATCTCTGCGTCTGCTGTTCACGATACTGATTTCGCCATCCGCGCCTTTTCTCAAATGGAGAATCGCAATGTGTTCGTTTACACGTCATTAATGCGAGCATTTGTTCATTGCAATCGGCCACTTAGAGCTATGGAGTTGTATGCTGAGATGTTGACAGCTCAAATTAGGCCAAACAGCTATGCCTTCTCGTCGATTGTTAAAAGTTGCACTTTACTTTGTGCTTTTAAGACTGGAGAAACAGTTCATGGGCAGGTTTGGAAACATGGGTTCGGATCACATGTTCATGTTTTGACTTGTTTGGTGGATTTCTATTCCAATCTTGGCAAAGTGATTGAATCCAGATTAGTGTTTGATGAAATTCCTGAAAGAGAAAGAGACAGTGTTTCTTGGATTGCAATGGTTTCAGCCCTTGTCCGTGAGGGGGATTTGGGTTCTGCAAGGGAGGTATTTGATAAAATGCCGGAGAAAATTACTGCTTCTTGGAATACCATGATTCATGGTTACGCTAGTGTTGGGGATGTGGAGTCTGCTGAGCTGTTTTTCAATCAGATGCCAGAGAGGGATCTAATTTCATGGACTACAATGATCAAGTGTTATAGTCAGAACAAGCGGTACAGGGATGCTTTAGAAGTTTTTGGGGATATGAAAAACAATGGGATTACACCCGATGAAGTGACGATGACAACTATTATTTCAGCTTGTGCCCATATCGGGGTGCTGGATTATGGAAAGGAAATGCATCTTTACGTGATGCAAAATGGGTTTGATCTTGATGTCTATATTGGGTCTGCACTGGTCGACATGTATGCAAAGTGTGGGAGCTTGGAGAAGTCACTCGTGGTGTTCTTCAAACTGCAGGAGAAGAATCTTTTTTGTTGGAATTCTGTGATTGATGGGCTTGCAGTTCATGGTTATGCAGAGGAAGCACTGGCAATGTTTAGCAGGATGGAGAAAGAAAAGATTAGGCCCAATGGTGTTACCTTTGTAAGTGTCCTTGCAGCTTGTTCTCATGCAGGATTGGTTGAAGAGGGTCGAACGAGGTTCTTGGACATGATCCATCGCTATGAAATTCTTCCTGAAATGAAACACTACGGTTGCATGGTGGATCTATTATGCAAGGCTGGTTTGTTGGAGGAGACATTAGAAGTAATAAAAAGAATGAGAGTAGAACCAAATGCCGTTGTTTGGGGTGCTTTACTGGGTGGTTGTAGACTTCATAAGAACTTGGACATTGCCCAAGTTGCCCTAGACAATTTGGCTATCTTAGAGCCAAATAATACTGGATATTACACCCTTTTACTTAATATGTATGCTGAAGCAAATAGATGGAGTGAAGTATCAAGGATCAGGGCTACTTTGAAAACATCTGGTGTTGAAAAGGAGTGTCCGGGATCTAGCTGGATTGAATTGGAAAAGGCGATCCACCAATTTTCTGCCTGCGATAATTATCATCCAGCATCGCATGAAATTTACTCCTTACTAGATGGATTGTTTGGCCAACTTAAGCGAGCTGAATGTGTACCCGAGGCTGGATTCATTTTGTAATGAATTACCGACAATCTGACTGATATGAGGTCAAGCGATTGTTTGCTGATAGAGATATCGGTTGTGTCATGAAGAAGCATGAGTGATAACTGAATTTCCTCATGACAGAAGGAACTAAAAGCAGGAATTATTCATTGAAATGATTGTGTGCTGATAGAGGTTTCAGTTTTGTGAGGAAGAAAAGTGAGTGGCAGCTGAAGCGAGAATTGTTCATTAAAAGATGACACTTAACCTGCTAAGATATTGAACTGAAGTATGAATTTTATTGGCAACATTGCACAATAGGTCTCTAATTCTGTCAATCAATAGCACAACCGACAGAAGGATCTTTTTTTCAAGATTCCAACAATTTTACAGGCTGCTGGCTATTTACTACTCTGCAGTTTCTTCTGATCTCTCCACGGTGACCCGATTGCAGATCACCCATTTTTATCATCCCTTTAACAAATGCCTTAAAGAATTTATTTTGGTTTTTACTAAATTGCCTCACGTAACCCCTGGTTTGAGGGAAGGTGAAGAGTGTTTGGTCTGAGTTTAGAAATCCTCTTTGATGGACCAAGTCCTTAAAGTATTGGTTGTCAAATGCTACAGTTGTTGCATCCAAGTCTCCCGTTACATTTCCATCCCCAACACGTGGGCATTGCTTCTGTAACTTTGCTCTAAACATTGGATCCATGGCTGGGTCAGGCTTGCCCGAACCTGATTGGTTGTATAGCCGAAAAACAATAGAAAAACACCTTCCTTTACCAATGGAATGAGAACCCGAAAGTGCCACTAGATCCTTCACAGAGAGATTGAATCTGCCAAAGAGATCAATGAGGTAACTCGAGTTTGCCCTTGGGCTTGGCATGATACTATCTGAATCTTCCTGGCTTGCTGTTAAGCTGTCTAGCCTTCCTAACTTCACTTCCCAGTCAGGCCCTCCACTCTGTGTTAAGACAGGAAAAGACCTTAAATCTGTTTCTCGTTTCTTTGGGGATCATTGATAACAAATACAAGAAGATTAGAAACAATTATATTCTTGCTATGTCAAATGCTCTTTTTATCTTTTGAAGGTTTTACCATCCGTCATCACTCATCTTTGCATTGTTCTTGAAAAAAAGAAACTATAGTACCACTCGTTTTTGTTCTTTTATTTATTTATTTTCCATAAGCATGAAGATATACAGAAATGAGAAATATGATTCTTTTTGCTCGTTTGGAGACTAAAGTTCACAGGGGAAGAACACTTACCAGAACAGTAGCATCTCTTGCAGCCATGATTAAGATGTCAGCACAAGAAACAACACCTGGACAGACTTTCTCGACTGCTTTCTTGGCTGCATCAATAACTTCATATGACCTCAGTGAATTTATATTGGATAAAGAAAGTTTTTCTCCAAGCATGTTTGGTGTGTCATCCAGCAGCAGCGAAGCATCACATCCCTACAAAGCATAAAAGAAAAATGAGGTAAAGTTTCGAGAAAATTGATAATGGAGTAAGTTGAAAGTACTGGTTTCTCATATGTTACATTAACAAAGCAATCATGGAACTGCAGGCGCATGACTGAGGCTGCGCTTCTGGGATCTCTTGCCATATTCTTCTTGATCACATTCCTGACAAGAAGTTCTGCCTGTGGGCAAGTTTCGGAGTAGTAACCTGGCCGGAGCTCTTTGGTTGCAGCCATGGCCAAGTTGAGGAGGAAGAGGAGAAAGGTAAGAGACATCACTACTTGTTCACTTAGTGTTCTTGGATGTGATGGAAATGGTGTTTATAGGGCTCTCTTGTAATGCTCTTTCAACTTTCTTTGCACATATATATAGAGTTTGAAGGCTATGACAGTGTTAAAAACAAATCTCCTATTCCATGTGGCAGCCTATGTTTCACAAAAACTCTACAAGGGTAATGCTTTTATTGTTTTCCTGTTGTGGTTTTGAAAAAGTTTTCGTGTCGTTTCCTAATTAATTGAAAGTTTTCAAAACAGATTCGAATGATTTCTTAATTTTTCAAAAATTTAGACCGGGATTCGGGGAATGTGTCCCTAACCCAAAATTTTTAGCGTTGAAAGTTTTCAAAACAGTTTTGAATGATTTCTTAATTTATCAAAAATTTGGCCGGGAATGTGTCCCTAACCCAAAATTTTTAGCGTTGAAAGTTTTCAAAACAGTTTTGAATGATTTCTTAATTTATCAAAAATTTGGCCGGGAATGTGTCCCTAACCCAAAATTTTTAGCGTTGAAAGTTTTCAAAACAATTTCGAATGATTTCTTAATTTATCAAAATTTTAGAAACACGTTTCTTAGGCCGGGAATGTGTCCCTAACCCAAAATTTTTAGTGTTGAAAGTTTTCAAAACAATTTCGAATGATTTCTTAATTTATCAAAAATTTAGAAACACGTTTCTTAGGCCGTGAATGTGTCCCTACCCCAAAATTTTTAGCGTGAATAAAGAAAGCATTTAGAAAACGAATTTTTGACTTTTTTTTTTCCAAAATGTGTTTTCGACAAAATAGAAATGCTTTTCTTGTTTACAATATAAGATGTTAGTAAAGATGAATTCACGGGATATGAAATGTTAACATCCTTAGTTTGCCAACTTGTTTTTAGATGAACTTGATCTAGTCTTTATTTTTTTATGAGAATGCTAATAAAAACATAAACAATTAGAATGTTTAACGGTTTAAGTTTAAGAATATTTTAAAATTTAGACATTTTATTTTTATTTTAAATTAACTTTGTAATAATTGGTATTACCATTTAATTATTTATTAGTGATTTAGTGTATTGTTTTTATTTATTAATGAAATATTTGTAATTATAAAACAATTAATATTTATACCTATTTAAGAATCAAATTTTATAAATATATTACTATATTTTCTATATTCACATGTTTCCCCATGTCTCGTTTTCAATAATTTCTAAAATGCCATTTTTTTTTTTTTGAAAATTTTAAATTGCCATTTCTTTGTTTCCTGGTTCCTATTTTCCGTTTCCTGATCTCATAGAGCCTAGGTGGCAGCAATTATATGGGCTTTTCTTTCTCTTACAAGATAATCTGCCAATTGGGTACGAGTGAAATTTTATGCAACTAAATCTTGCCAGTTTCTTGTCTTTTATTCCATATAATTCTTCAACCAACTGGACCCACTGGGATGGGTATATTATCAGTGTTTATCTCCTCCTTCTGCCAAAAATTGTTTCTTTACGCAGAGAAACAAAGAGAAAAAGATTAAAACAGTAAATTTCTGTTAAGGTTTTGAAAGTTAACTAAGAGTAGCTAATATTTACAGCTATAGAGCATTAAATAAGTGGAAAAATGTTGTCATCCTGCAGAAAACTAGGCTTGTTCACAAATTTTTTGCATGCAGTCTTGATGAGATTAAGATATTGTGTTACTAACTTACTATATGTAAAATAGATGTTGTTAGAGTGCATGGTTATATGTAAATAGAATTGAGTGGTACAACTCCAGTCGAGTTGGTCGGGCAGTTTGCTCGGTAACCACAAGGTCCTAAGCTCGACTCATCATGGAAGCTGCCTATTGGCCTTCTTGGATTGAACCGGTTAGCTATGGGCAACCTAAACTAGTTTACCTCCTTGTTGTCCTTTGTAGGTTAGGATCATAAAACAGGTTTCACAATGTATCTGAAAAGGGTGACTGGGTGAGTGAGACATGATTCTTGTACCTAAAGGTCACGAATCCAATTCTTATCAACATCCTCTTGGTCGCGCTAATCACACATCATATTACCCAAAAGCAAGTGTCTCTTTAGGTTGAGGTTGTTCTAAATGATAATAAAGAAGATGAGATTGAGATTCTGTGCAATCATTATTTTTTAAACTAAACCCACTCTCTAAACTAAGTGTGATGAGAATTTTATTATTATGCCCATAGAAAAGATACAAAAGAGAGGACATAACAGCTAAGGAAACAAAACTAAAAGTGAGAGAAGGGAACATACCCACCCCTTCCTGCCAACATGCTATCAAGAAATCAAACCAAAAAGTAAAAATGTCTGAATTAATTAAAGGATATATAAAGGTGATGGAGTGAGTTAGGTGCTTTCAATCAAGAAAGTATAATGCTATCGGAATTTAAACTTCTGCACATAAATTTAAAATTTCTTCCATGATTTTATTTATTCAATAGACAGTCAATTCATTAATAGTTAATAGATATAAAGAGTTGTGAAGTTAGGTTAGCAACTTAAATTTATGTATGAAATTTTGTGTGCAAATAACAATTTTTATGATACAAATAATATATATATATAGGGTGAGGTTCCGTGCGGACAGTGCTTCTCGTGCGGTCACACATCATTAGGTACGCATTAATGCACCACAAAGTGTTTGAAAATGCACTATTAGGTGTGGTGCATTTTGTAGTGCATTTGTGTATTTCATTCTGGTGTATTTTCAAACACTGTATGGTGCATTTATGCATACCTAATGGTGTAATCTGCACTGGTCGCATGGAAAGTTCTGTCCTCAATTGAACCAGTATATATATATATATATATATATATATATATATATATATATATATATATATATATATATATATATATATATATTGCTTTTTTTTATTGTGAATAGAATCATGGAGATCTGCTGCTTTATACAAGTGCATCACAACATCTCCTCTTATTATCTTTTTGTTTGGATATGAATCGACCAACTTGTATATTAAAAAAAGAAGGAAAAATCTTAACAGACTGACATCTTTACATTAATTTTTTGTTCTTTAATTCCCACTCCACACTGGTCTTGAATAAATAATTTGCATCTAAAAATTCAACTCAAAATGTGAATATTAGTTTCTTATCAAATTGAACTAATAATTCGAGTAAAATATCTCTTTAAATTATTGTGTAGCATGTGGTTAAATCATGTTCTTTAGCATATGATATGTATATGTTAATTTCCTATCAATTATTATTGCAAGAATATCCCTACCAACCAAAACAATACCTCCAGTCCTCCACAGAACCCAAATTTGAATTCTTGGCATTCAAGGGGAATATAGCAGAGTAGCTAGGCAGTGTTCTGAGTGAGCACTGAGCAGAGAAAATGATTCAGTGTAGTGGTCCACATTTGGTGTTGCATTGTTGCCTAACTTGTGTCCCAGTGATCAGAGGTCCCCTACCACAGTACCCCCCTCCATGTCTCACACAGATTCTTTGATAGATCCTTCAATTGAAGAATAGACCAATGCCTACTCTCATGGGACACTTTGCCCATGATGGCTAATATTGTATGTGCTGACAGATGCTTCTCAGTTTTTCTTTTGCTTGTGACCTGCCAACTTTTTTTGATTGACGAGGAAATTGCACTCACTACTCGAGAGTGTGTATTGGGTAAATCTCGTAATTTCTGTCTCACATCGGGTAAATCCCGTCTTATGATCCTAGTTGACAGAGAATCATACTGAGATAAATCGGTTTAGGTTGTCTATAGTTAACTGGTTCAAATTAAGAAGACTAATAGGCCGCTTCTATTGAAAGTTGAACTTTAAACCTAGTACTTACCATATCAATAGGCAAACTAACTTAATTGAGATTGCCCATGAGCTGCCAAGCTTGCTTCACATCTTCTCTGTTGTTTCACAGGGTGTGGCCCATACAACAGCTTATTTGCATGTGGATGGTGAACATCCTGATCATGTTGGGGCACAAGGTATATTAAATCAAGAAAATCCAAAACTTTGAGTAATTGGTCCATTTTCATAGACTAAGGAAAAACATATTGTGTGGTCACTGCTCCTTGGGATATCATTACCCTTTAAAAACAAAGGGGAGGCAAAATCCCAGTATTTCAGGACTAACAATACAAGGATTTATCTTGTGGCCTGGTTGTCTTGTGCAGGAGATGATACCAGAATCTTTAAGGATCTGCAGGAATGCTAGATTGCCGTTAACATGTGTTCAGTAACAGCCCAAAGAGTCAAATCCAGCATTCTACTACCAACAATCAGTGTACATATAATTTTACTATTAGATATAACTTATGGTAACATGCATGAACTTTTCTATCAGCTATAACTTTTAGCAAAGTGGTAAACACTCTTACCAACATCAAGACTCTTCCTCTTAACCATGTTCAAGATATCTTTCACCAGTCATGCATTCTCCACATTAGTTAATTGCTTCTGGTGAACAAGTCTGATCTCTAAGCAAATACCTTAGCATCCTGGTGGGTTTTGTTCTTAATCAGCAAGTTTGCAATAACCCGGGGTGGTTAAGTAGAAGGGACGCATCCATCATTAACTAAAAATTAGGGTTTGATCTTTGACTTTAGGTATGAATCGGTCTTAAATCTTCAGGCTAGATGTCCCACTCAAAAAAGATGCCTACCATTCACGAGGGGATCAATCACTGTCTGACGGTGAAACCATGGATAGACCCAAAAAAAAAAAGTTTGCAATGTTTTCTAGATGCCTTGCTTAGCATCACGAGGGGTAGTTGTTTCAGTTCAATTACTTTATTGACAAGACCCAAATTCGGAATTATTTTTCTGAGAGAATTAAACTTATTTTATTTAAATACAGTTTTGGTCTATTCAAATCCATAATTACATTGGAAAAGTAATTTGTGGCTATAATATTAAAACATAAATATAATCTGACATAATTTTAGTAACATGTAATATCCACGTTAACACAAATAGCAGATGCAAATAGGAACAACGTGTCCCTACTATAGTCGATATTTCAAAATCATGTTGCTCTAAAGGACTGCAGCCGTTGCTGGGAGGGAATTATCAATTATGTGTTTGTCTACCACTT